TCCTTCTTTGAACGGACCTTCTTGTCCGGCCGTGACCCTCCTACTGAGTGCCCTGGCTCTGAGTGATCCACAACACCCATCAACTTGTCCACATTCTGTTTGAACAGTCGACTTTGGTCCGGCTTCGTCCAGAAGTCCGCAACCATATCATCAGTTGGACACCAGTCCACACTGATCTCCTTCTTTGCGACTCTGTCGCTCACAAAAAAGTACCTAATGTTGATGTGCTTTGTTCGTTTACTACTAGAAGCTTTGCCGTTCTTCTCTAGAAGTATGGCACTCTTGTTGTCCTGATAGACTATAGTTTCTTTAACTACATAGCCTTGCTCCCGTAGGAACTGCCTCGTCCAAAGGATCGATGGCATCAGGTCATCAACTGCTACGAGTTCACTCTCAGTCGAGCTTCTCGTGTTCAACTTCTGTTTCGTCGAAGTCGATAATGGGTAACCGGTGCCCATGGTCAAACCACCTCCGGTAAGATGTCTGCCTTGCTCGTTGGGAGCTTCTTGCAGGATTCGTCTACTGTGAATAGGTCTTTCGGGGCTGCACTACTTCTAGTCTTCGTGCCCCCTTCCTCTGGCGATGCCTTCTCGAAGGCTTCCAGGATTTCATCAACGTACTTGTACATTGATACATTGCATTGACCCTTCGTTATGAAGTCTATGGTCATGCCGAGACAAGTGTGGACCTTTCTGCGGCTCACCGTCATCTCTCCAGTGCCGTCCTCGAATATGCTTTCGTATTCATCACGAAGCACTTGGATCAGCTGGTCGTTAACCTTCGAGTCCTTGTGGCTAAGCTTACAGTCGTCTACATGCCAGCAGACTGTCTGTTGCTTGCCGTGTACCATTCTGTTGGCTACACATGGGTCGTAAGGATTAATCTTAAATCCGTTTCGGAGCATCGTCTTCTGGAACTTACGGTAGTATAGTAGGCTAGCTACCATGGTACCGTAGATGGCATTCAAGCATTGCAATAGCAACTGCTTGTTGCCTTTCTTATCCGTTGTCACGAACGGTTTGTAGACATCTGGGGCAATTTCACACAGCATGTCTACTAATACTCCTCTTATTCTAATGATTACCATATCTTTTTCATCCTCGACTCGTGTCTGGATGAAGGCGTCCGGGATGTCAATTACTGCCACATCCCTTTCCTCTTCAGCGTCGATTATGCAGGAGAGTAGCATTGCTTCTGTCGACACTGTTGGCGAGCTTGCGTCTTCCTTGGAGATGAAGTCACGCTGTTTGTTGCCTCCGGCAACCGCTCGGCCTTTGATCTTCCCGTTCCTTTTCAACTTTAGGAACAGGTGTGACTCTAGGATACTCTTGCGTTCCATTTCGCTGAGTTCTTCCATTTTCTTTGGACGGAAGGTATCCCTGAGATGTAACTGCTTCATCTCGGCAAAGGCTGCATCGTGCGCTTTGTCCTTCCACTCCTTGAGTCCAGCCTTCAATGACAACTGTGTCATGATGGCTGCTACCACATCAGGTTCTTCGTCTACCTGTGTGTAAAACATGTGTGCATCTGGGTGCAAGACACGTTCACTTGTATGGACGTTTGGCGTCTCATACTTCTTTCCGTCAAAGCTGGGAATATACGATTCCTTTGCTTGCGTCCTCACTCTACTGGACCTGCGCACTCCTGGCGTCTGCTCAGGTGCCGCTTGGGCTTCAGCGTCCACTCCTGGGATCTGTTCCAGGGGCTGTTGGTCCGTAGTGGGTTCCGGTTCCTCTACCGTCTCAACGATAGGTTGGGTAACCGGTTCGATCATTTCGATTTTCGGTTCAACGCCTATTTCATTCGGTTCGTTGACCTCTGATTCTTCGTCGTCGTTGACCTGGTGATCGTCGGGATCATCTTCCATTTCGTCAATGGTTTCAGCATCCACGTCCAGGTCCTCATCGGTTTGGATCATTGGTAGTGGGGGTGCGTCATTGCTCTCTTCCCCTTCCACTCCTGTGATCTCGACATCACCTATGGGTCTATTTTTTCGATCAGTAAAAACGAGTAGTTTAGGCTGATCTTTTCCTAATAGATTGACTCTAGCTATCACTGTGTCGGGCATTGGGATCTTGTCCCACGAATGCCTAGTAATTTTCTTGCTGGAGCGGAGGCTCATAAATTTGTAGCCTCCTTGCTTATTTCCGCTCGTTCCCATACAGATGGCCGCCTTTGTGCGTCCTACCATGCTGTTACGGGGCGAGTCTTCTTCATGCACCTGGCAGTAATCTCCGAACTGCAGGCTCAGGTGCTTTTTATAGTCCAGGGACTCTCCCATCATTATCATACGGGGGCTCATTGTCTCGCTGACCCCTGCCTTATTTGGGAAGTACGTCAACTGTTTGACGACTTGTAACACCAAGTTGACGGTTAATATTTTTAGCATGCGTGTGAACGGTAGGCTATGCCGGACAGCTCGTGTCCTTTCCTTGACTACCCGGATTCTCCGTTTGATCTCGGGTACGTGCTCGTTAGCACTGGCAACGTTCACTACCGGTCCACCCGGCATTGCCATGATTGTGTTGGACAGAGGCTCAAACTCATTGTCCACATGAACGGTCGTGATTTTAAAACCACGAGCCTTGTAAAATCGATAGACCTCCTTAACTGCTTCTAGGATGGTCTCTAGCTTCCTGTTGGGCAGGTGTCTAGCTGTTGTAAAATCTATTTTACGGCTTAGCGTTAACAGGAACGGAATTCCTGCCACAAAGAAGATGTCCATCGTCAGGAACACATCCTTGTGTAATTGCAAAAAGTCTCTCGGTACTTTCATTGCATTGCCTGCCACTGCATTCGGTTTCTTCTGAGTGGTCTTGCCTTTCAATGCATCAATATCCTTGCCCCATATAGCTTGTGCCGTATCGATGTCTTCGACGGTCACTGGGCAATTTGCGATTTGATTGCTCATGTTGCTATTGAGATACTACTGAAAAAGTGGGTGGGCTCTGTATTTCTACTGGTGTGAAATTCTAGTACAGAGGTACAGGTTCAATCCCTAATCGCGAGTCCCCAACAGATTAGACCATTACGCGGTACCGACCAGATGGAACCAAACTCCACTCCTCAATATGAAGGGGGGTTTAGGTGGATTAGACCATTACGTGGTACCGGCCAGATGTAACCAAACTCCACTCCTCAATATAAACGGGGGTTTAGGTAGATTAGACCATTACGCGGTACCGGCCAGATGTACCTAAACTCCACTCCTCAATAATATAAAAAGGGGTTTAGGTAGATTAAACCATTACACAGCAGCTATCTAAAGCACGTATACATTCTGGGAGCCCATGGCAGTAAATATTAGCTATTTGCCAATCAAGTGACAGCCCGTTTTGCTATTTCTATTTCCGTGGTTGGCGCAACCGGAGGCATCTTGTTTTGAGCAGTTTTTTTCTTGTCTCTGTCTGGATCCAAATCTGTTTCCCAACTCAGACGGCTTATTGCTTGAAGCCACCCGATGCCAACAGCCATTCACTTTTTCTTCACGACGACCATGTGGAATCTGTTGTTGATTTCATGATCATTCATAATTGTCGACAATAATCACAATCACAATCACCATGCCACGAAACTACGCGTCTCTCTCCAACTGCTACAAGCCTCTTCCGTTTCACTTGGCGCAATCCCAGCAGGCATCCACCACCACCACCACCATTAATAGTAAAAAATCCAAGAGAGATAGAGCTTCCCATGAATTGCGGGTACTCCGCCTGGAGCTGGGCATTACGTCGGCCACGGGATCGGCCTTGGTAGAATTGGGGCACACCAAGGTTCTCTGTCAAGTCATTGGGCCAACAACAACCAGTACGACGACTGTCAATATGGAAGAGGGAACCCTGGAATGCCAAGTCCAATATGTCCCCAATGTCGGCTATCCCATCACATCTCTGGTAGGTGCTGCCGCCAGTGGATTGGCATTGTCGTCGGAAACGCAGCAACATGCACAACAACCGACATCGGGACGAATCAATACACAAATTGGGGGCGTCGAAAAGGAATTGGCCAATCAGGTATTGTCCTCTCTTGCGGCAGCAGTCCCACTCAAAGCGTATCCCAAAAATGTGATTCAGTTGCAATTGACAATTCTACAAGACGATGGCAGTGTCATGTCAGCCTGCACCATTGCTGCTTCATTGGCACTCGTCAATGCCAGTATTGAAGTGTATGATATAGTCACCAGCGCCACTGTGGCTGTCATGAAGGACGAGGACACTACGCAACCCAAACTCTTGGCAGACCCAACCTACAGCGAACTGGAGCAAGCCGATGCGGTTGTCACACTCTCGCTGCTAGCCAATTGGAAAGAAGTCACATTATGGAATCAATCTGGACGACTGTCATCGACTTTGGCCAATGAAGCCATCAGTCTGTGTAGAGATGGATGCAGAAGCATGCACAAATTCATGAGGAATGCACTGTTGGATTTCGAGGAACCAGGCGGACAAAAGATGACCACAGACGTGAAAGAATAGTCCAACCCAAGGCTATAGAACACCTTCCTGAGCAAACAACGTGTAGAAAAATTGAGCTGGGACATTCGATGTTCTTCTGTTCAGTTTTCAATTTATTTGCAATAGAACCATTCCTAGTTTGTTAGTTTGACTTGCTGGCTCCTTTTCCATCCTTCGTGTGTACTTGTCGACTGAGACTCGTCACTCTGTTTAGGCTGCCAAAACAGTTTCTTTTGATTGCGTTGCGCCGGTAGGCACTGACAGTGAGTTCGAGTTCTTTGTGCTTTACCAAAACAATCAAGCGGAAGGATCGGTTGCGGGGGCTTTGTTGGTAAGGCTTTTCAGCAGTTTCTTCGCTCTGTCTTTTTCCATTTCGTTCAAGTGTTTGACAGGACAGGTTCCACTCGAAGCCTTCCAGAGCCAACGAATTGCCTCGTCCTTATCCACCGTCACACCACCAATTCCAGTTGCCAATGCTGACCCTAACACGTAGGCCGCCAAATCCGATCCGTTCCCCGCAGCCATAGCAGTATACATCATTCCTTTCATTAAGTCCTGGGCGACACCCGTTCCAGTCAAAAGGTCCGCCCCTAGGAATACCGTGCACTCCAAGTTTCCATAGTCGTGTCCTTTCTTCATCAAGATGTGGCTCTTGGTTAGGTCTTTCGCAAAACCCTTTTCGCCGTATCGATAATTCAGTCCGACAGTCAGCATGACATTTTTGTCGCCCGCATTGGCCTTCTTCAACAGGTCTTCAATTTCCTTCTTCTCCTTCACTTTTTCATTCCAACTGGAGAGCAATGAATCACCAATGACACCCGTCTTGATCAGTCCTTCAATCAAATTCTTGTGCTGGGGAGCTGGGAACAGACGGTCGCCCATCGGTTGATTCGTCATTGGTGATGTTCTCTTAGTCTTGAGGTGTTGTTCAATTGCTAAGAAGGGAATGGAAAAATAGATGGTTGAGCACGAAGTTTCTCATTGAGACTCAACTCGAACGTTACCATGCTTACCCGCACGCTCGTAGACGCGGCCATCCTCAGCTGTGACAGGGTTCCACGGTATCTCACGGGTAATAGGGCAAATCAAATCCTCGACAGGGAACTGGGCTTGCAGCTTCTCGAGCTGGAGCTTCTCTATTTCTTTGACTTTCTGAGGATTTGGACTATCGCTCAGTTTTGTTTCTTTGGGCTTCGAATCTTCCGTGGGCTTTGCACTGTTGTCGTTGTTTTCTTCTTTGGCTTTGGGCTTAAGATTCAAGTCTTCAGTCTCGTTGTCTTCATCTGGCTTGGGGTTGTCATCGTTTTCATTGGTGTTTGTCTCTGAATCGTCTTCATTCTCCTTGTCTTCTTCGGGCTTGGGGCTGCCATCGTTTACATTGGTCTTTGTCTTTGAATAGTCTTCATTCTCCTTGTCTTCTTCGCGCTTGGAGCTGCCATCGTTTACATTGGTCTTTGTCTCTGAATCGTCTTCATTCTCCTTGTCTTCTTCGGGCTCGGTGTTTTCACCGTTTTCGTTGGTGTTTGCCTCTGAAGCTTCAGTTGTGTTGTTGTCGTTGTCGTTGGAATCGTCCTTGGCTTCATCGGTCTTGGGCTTATCATTCTGCTCATCTTCCTTCTTGGCAGTCGAATCGACATCTCTTTCCTCTTCCTTGGGCGTTGGACCTTCGTTTTCCCCTTCTTTCTGGTCATTGGGCGTCGCCTTGTCATCGTCATCTTCTTCGGCCTTTGGCTTTGAATCGCTCGTATGGGTGGTGTTCTGACTCTTGTGAGCGTCCAAAAGACGTTGACGAAGGACGTCGGCCTTCCCGGTACCTCCGAGTTTGGCTTTCTTGCACTGCGAACGAAGCTCATTGTAGGAGAGCTGGTTGATATCATCGATGGTAAGCAAAGACATGATGATGATACTAGCTATTAATAGTACTGGTAGTTGTTGGTGCTTCAGAAACTGGGGCTTCGGAAAGAAAAATGGGTGAGGGGATGAGGTTTCGAGATGAAAAACAATTTATCAATTGCAGCAAAAAGTGAGTATTCTAAATATAATTTACTGGGATTGACAGAGACAAGCCTTCAGGCTGGAGTTCTGGTGCCGAGTGGCACGAGGCAACAGAACTGTGGCTTGATGGGTTGGAAAAAAGAGAGAGAATACTTACAAACCCGCCCATTCAACTGCACCAACCGTTGACAGATGGATGTGCCTACAACAACCACTGCAGAAAACCAATTGTCATCTATGAAGCAACAGCACCCAACCTCCCAATCCTGCATCCAGCCACAAATCCTACATCGGCGCCACACAAAACTTCCTCAAGCTCAGAATGTATCACATGTCAGTGAAAAAAAACGCCTATGCCATTCTACGCGGCAAAAAAAACACAAACCCAAGAATCGGACACCTTTGCTTGGCACTTTGCTGCCAAAGCAGTGGCAACCACCACAGGAGACCCCACAGCACTGACATTCGGAAACTTACAACCTCAAAATACTGTGGCAGGGCAACCCCTGTCCACAGTCAAAACGTTCGGACAAATGACTGCATTCTATGTAATCAAGAACGGCTTCACATCTTCAAACGTATGAGAAACAAACCTTCTACACTTCTCAACAGTGTGAAGAACTATTTAATACATGCGTCACAAACCACGGTTCAACCGGTTCACCCATGCAACCCAGTGAGCAGTACTGATGACCCTCAATGGGCGAAAAAGTGCCAACAACCATTGATGTTTAACACCAATGGTGTGTGTGAATGCAATCGATATAACCCATAGAAATAGTACCACAGAGTCAAA